TGATTCACGAATATTAAAATGAATGCTTTTCAATCCTGAATGCATTTTTATTCATTTATAGGAATTACATAGAGCATATCTCTATGCTTTTCAATCTAAAAATAATATTAGCTTTTTCTGTGCACAGCACACACATTGTGAATACTGTTTAATTCAAAATTTTGAATAGAAAATACAGTTTTTTAATCCTTTTGCATTAAATTGAATCTAATTGAATCTAATTGAATCCAATTAAATTAAAAAAACAGTAGAGTATTTAAAATACGCATTCGGATAGAAAAAAATTTCAATCCATTTTAATCCATTCTTGCTGAGTATATACAGGGTATCTGAAAATAATCGTCAAATATTTCATAGGCAGTTAGAGCGGACTAAACTGAGTCGAAAAGTTCTTTCATTTTGTTTCCCCAATAGTTAACGAGATATTAATCCTTAAAGAGCCGAATACTACTATATACCTACCGATTGTTTGGCGCGCGGGGGAGCGAGGATAGCCTGGCAAGCGCGCCGTCCGAACTATGGAGGCTTGCGGCGGTGTGCGCGGCGCGGGCCACTTGCTAGCTAATCCCCAACTCCCAAGGCTCGTGCGCCAAGCGATTAGTAGACATATACATTTCACAATAGTAGGCCAGGTGAGCGCGCGTATTCGGCTATCTTTAAGGATAATATCTCATTACTATTGAGGAAATTTACAAAATAATAGAGGACTTTTCAGACTCAGTTTAGCCCGCTCTACCTGCCCGTGAAATATTTGATTATTTCCAGACATCCTGTATAAGCGTTTCACAAGAAATGAAATATATTTACATCGTCAAAGCAACATCAAATAATAATAAAGAATATTTTGAGTAATTCTTGTAAAACATATATACATAACGATTAGGCGTTCAAACCAAACGCAGCCTTTAACATGGTAAGTTTGATCTAAAATAAAAGTTAAAAATTGATACGTCAAAAATAACTACAATTATATTTCTTTTATAATAAAATACTTATAGAGCATCAGAGGAAAATTATATTCCGCGAGTGCTGCAATCGCACGTGTTACTATAATTAGATGGTTATCGATGACAGGATCGCGATATATTACAGGTGAGACTACGGTTACGTTCGCTTTGGCACTTATGGCTCTTGTGAACATCAATTATTCTTGTTTTAATATTTAATAAACAACAAGGTTGAAACGATGCTTAAAGCTTGTAAGTGCCAAAGCGAATCCAGCCTATATCTTTAATTGTTTCATATGCATATATATAAGATGTCTCTTAAGATGGGTCGGAGCCACATTGGGGGCGGAGAATGGATCAAAGGGAAAAAATTCTTACTGTTTTGAGATACTCGCTGTAGTTTTATTTAAATTAGAAAAGGAAACGCCTAAGCCAATATGCGATTAAGCCGCACCGTGCGAATTCGTAAGACGACTTGATATCCTTGTCAAACAAAAAATATTTTAATACCAAATTAGTCTGAGGTTAATTTTTTTAAGTAACTTCTCTTTTGTGATTCGACCATGTGGCCGATGTTTGGGTTATTTAAAAAAGTGAAGTGAATGACCTTGAAGTTTCAAGAAATATGACTTTGAGAAAAATTATTTGCTCATCATAGTATATGCTCCTTCGAATTGAAAAAAGATGCCTTGTAGTATTTTCTCATATATTTTTTCGTATCATCATAAACGAGACATTTTAAATGGTCATGTTATAAGGAGCACCCTAAGAGATATTAATATAAGAATTTGCACAATATGCAGTATAATCTTCTGTCGAAAGAACAATAACGTTTTTCTGGCACAAATTCGTCCAAATAGTAGTTCTTGAAGTTTTAAATGAGAATTTAAACTCTACAAATATATATCAAGACTTTGAATTACGCATAAATCAGGAATTGCGTGTATTATTTCTATTTCTATAACATATATGTTATTTTATTATTTCTGTATAAAGATTTCATGATAAATGCGTGATATTTAACTTTATAGATGTGTGTATTGAGATATAAGTAAATTCTTTACTTAATTTTTTTAATTGAAAACGTAAAAAATAAAGTAAAAACGGTTCGAGTCAAATTGATTGAGATTTTTTAATTTTTAGGTATATTATATATTAGAAGTAATATAATTTCTTATTTCTTTTTCTACGCTTTAAAAAAATATACTTCCTCAAATCTTTAAAGTGGAATCGAATTCTAAAGAGTGAAATAACACGCTTAAAAAATTGACACTTGAACCATTCCTTTTTATCAGCTCAGTTATCACTTTCTCATTCTGTAGAATTAAATTTTACTCTAAAGATTTTAAGAATCCTAAATAAGATTTAAGAAATTTTTTATATACATTTTCTCTGTTAGATCAATCACGATAATCGATCACGTGAATTAAATATCATTATTTTTACAAGTATAGTGCACTTAATAAAATAGAATGTCCTAATTTTTTTATCAGAAATTTATCTTGCTAAAGAAAGTTATCTTGCTCAAGAAAGATTAAAATTAGCCGTAATTATCCTTGGTTGATACAATAAGATAATTTAATTGAAGCGAAGCATTTGGTTACAGTAATATTTTATTTATTTCTGGTAAACAAGTTTATTACATGTCAAAATTTACCTGAAATAAGTAAAATGTTTCGCTTCAACTACATTATTTTATTGCAATATCAAGGCTGATATTTTCAGATCTTATATTCAAAACTGTCTAAGTATAGTCTTAAGAAATCATAAATCAATCACAGGACCGTATTAATGCTTAGACATTCTAAGACATTCCTTAAAGACATGACTTGAAATAACTAATTATGTGAAATTCAAGAATATCTGTTTACAAACAAGAGATTAATCGATTCAACTAATTGTAAGTGTAGTAGTTTTTACAGGAGATTGAAGATAAATAAGCGCAAAAATTATTATCGGAGCCAATTTTGTTAAAGGAAAAAGTTGTTTGTTTTATTATAATCCATATATGTATATACAGAGTGTCTCTTAAGATGAGCGGTTGGGTCTCTTTTCTTGTAAGTTATAGATTTTTTAAATGTAATAAACATGGGCATTAAATTTGATGGATAGTTTAATGAAAATAAACTAAAACACTCCATTTTCAATTAGTGTTTTTTCAATATATTTAAGTTTTCAGTTACTACAAACTTAAACGTCTCATTAACGTATACGTAAATAATCTTTTCAATCACAAAAAATTTAAATTTTATTCATCAGTGAACATTAAAGATTAATAAAATTGAAGAACGTTTCTAATGTACAATTAAACTTGTTAAACGGCAAGAAAAATGTGAAAAAACTTAGTCAAATGCGTCATTATGCATGGAAAAATACATTTGGATTTACAATGTAGCGGCTATCTACGCGAGCTTATATTATAATTTCAAGTGTATATGCATTAACATGTCAAAAAATAAATATAGCATATAATGATGTAATAACTCCGACGAAGTGTGTTTCGAAGCATAATTAAATAGAAACATCGTATAATAAAGCAAGTGGAGATATCGCCACAATCAGCATACGTTTTGCATAATGCTCTAATTAATCACATTACATCATCGTTTACATTACATCGCTTCATCAATTACATTACATCGCTTAATATAATGTATTAAAACATATTTAATCGTGCTAAATAACGTGATTTATAATGATAAGAAAAACTTTAGCTAAAATAACATTTTTGGATAGTGTAGGCGCGACGAAACACATAGGATCGCCATGCCAGGCTGTGCTAGGTAACGAAGCGCTACTTCCCTTTCTTTGCGCGCCGCCGTTGCTGCCGCTCGAGTGGGTCGTCCTATTTCGCGCGGCGCAGCTTAATATAGCATATTGACTTAGACGTTTCCTTTTCTAATTCGAAAACTACAGCGAGTATCTCAAAATAGTATAAGAATTTTTTGTTCCCTTTGATCCATTTTCCGCCCCCAACATGCTCCGATCCATCTTAAGAGACACCCTGTATACTGTATCGATGCATATATGGTATGAGCGTTACTAACTATCTTATTCTTTTTCCATTCACACAGTAATGTAAACGTATTTCTGCAATATATATGTATATTGTCTATATATAATACAATAATATATTGGGAATACAAATTAGTTCGGTCCGTTTCTCTAAAGATAGCTCCAGCTGTTGTGCATGATTCATAGTGACAGCTGATTTTGGCGGTTTCAGAGAGGTTAAACATCTGCTAATAATATTCAGTTTATATATTCAGTTTATTTCGCTTTGAGTTTCATACAAAAATCTTGATTTTTACTGTGTTTGAAATATCGAATTTTGTGTTAACTAAGCAGCATTTGTGGGAGCATTTTTTTGATTTTCTGCTTTGGAAGAAAAGTGCGGCTGAAGCCCATCGAATGCTTGTCGAAGTTTATGGTGACATTGCTCCAACTGATAAATCATGTAGAGAATGGTTTCGACGTTTCAAGGATGGAGATTTCAGCGTTGAAGACAAGCCTCACTCTGAATAGTCAAAAAAATTCGAAGACAAAGAATTAGAAGCATTACTCGAAGATCAGAGTCAAACGCAAGAGGAGCTTGCAGAATCATTGGGGGTAACTCAATAAGCCGTTTTTGTACGATTGAGAGCCATGGGATTAATTCAAAAACATTGGGAAATTGGGTGCCTTATGAACTGAAACCAAAAGAGACGTTGAAAGGCGATTTTTCACTTGCGAACAGCTGTTTCAAAGACAATAGAGAAAAGGTTTTTTACATCGGATCGTGACTGGAGATGAGAAGTGGATATTCTACGACAACTCCAAGAAGAAAAAATACTACGCTAAGCCCGGTCAATCGTTGCCATCGATCTCAACATCACGGCCGAACATTCATGGTTCGAAGATCATGCTCTATATATCTGGTGAGACCAAAAGGGTCTTGTTTATGAGCTGCTGAAACCTGGTGATTCCATTACGGGCGATCGGTATCGGCTACAATTGATTCGTTTGAGCCGTGCATTGCGAGAAAAACGGCCAGAATACGAGCAAAGACAAGATAAAGTTATTCTTCTTCATAACAACGCTCGGTCTCATGTCATTAAAGTCGTAAAAAAATATTTGGAAACGCTCAAATGGGATGTTTTACCGCACCCGCCATATTCTTCGAACATTGCTCCTTCTGATTACTGGTTGTTCCGAAGGATGCAGTACGATTTGGCAAGTCACCGGTTCACTTCTTTCGCAGAAATCGAAAATTGGCTCCAAAATTGGATCGCCTTCAAAGACGAGTCTTTTTTCAAGATGGAATTCAAATTGCCTGAGAGATGGGAAAAAGGCAGCGATGGACAATACTTTAATTGATCTGTTCATTCATTTTGAAATAAATGCATTTTTGAACACAAAAAAACGGACCGAACTAATTTGTACTCCCAATATATTTCTTTTCTTAGAGCATATCAATTTGTAATATATTATAAAAGAAACATTCTTTAGATTTTTTTTATAAAAGAAACATTTTTAGATTTTTTTCTTTAGAAATATTTCTTTAGATATATTTATATAAGTTATTATTTTTTGAATCAAATGTAGGATACGATCCAATTAATGCTCACGGTCGGTCCACATTGAAAGAGTGCGTTCGGAGAAACGCTATTCGCGCTATTTAGCGCTACAAACTGTTTGCGGAACTGCAGCGCTAACAAACACGATCAACTGCAGCGCTAACAAACACGATATCTAATGATAGCGTGTAACATCAAAACTACGCGCTATCAATGCTATTTCTTCCGAGATAATGTAATGGTAGCGTTAACGTTTACAGATCCGTAAACAACATAGCGTTAGTAAGATTTCTAATTTTAACATTCGTTAAAGTTAGATTAATGTTTAAGGGGATTCTATTCTCGAATGTCATCAAACCCCTTTCTCTCTTAGAATTTCGTAGAGTAAATAAACGTACGTAATGTGTGAATTTCAAATTTTATTATAATGAATGCAATCTCAATTTTAATCTCTGTTGATGATTTGCCACTAGGAGCGAACGTAATTCTTGCTTGTGTATCATCTTTAACTTTTCAAAGTTTCTGTGAAGTACAACTTGTGTATTTGATTTCATTATAAATGTAAAAGTCAGAGATACTAGTTACTGGCAATTTTTAATTCTCGTATAAGGAAAAAAATTACTATTGCGGTATAGCGCGGCAGGATATTCCGCTGCAGATGCTTAAGATCCTTATTAGATGTAGATGTGCTTCTTTTTCTGAAATCAACAACGAATGCTCAAGGGTTCTTCCTTTTTTATCTGATTAATTTATTTAGTGTAACTATTAATTTTTTGATCTAGTTTCTATATTGTTCACTTCGGTTTAGCGGCAAGCTATAGAGATTGCAATTGAGATTATGTTATTCATTATGAGAAATTAAAAAATTTACATTATAAACTTTACAAAACATTAAAAATTTTAATTATATATAAGGAAAAGTTTGATTGGTAATTGAAGACAGAATCCCCTACATTAACTTAAAGGTGCCATTACATACAAGCGTCGAGCATCGAGCATCTACGCAGAAGATTACTGCTGATTATTGCGCAAAAGTTTGAATCTCCAGACTCCTGCGTAATAATCTTTTGTGCAGCTTCTTAACGCAAAATGATAAATTTTGATATACATTACTATCTTAACATATAATATTTAAAATTTATATTTATTTACATTAAACAGTGTAAACTACAAGATTCCACTATTAGTATATCTCATACATTAAATTCAATTACAGTAAAATTATTAAACATATCACTGCGCATGCTCTGACGCTCGACGCTGACACTGCCATGTAAAGGCACCTTAATCTCGACGAATTATATCTCTCTAATTAAATGCTACGCTAGGATTGTTCATGAAGCTTGCTAATGCTATCGCGCTATTGGCTCCAAGAACAGTGTTAGTTGTGTTTGCGTCCATAGCGCGAATAGTGTCTCCTCGAATGCACTCAAAAAATGCAAGCAACACGAACAGACTTCATAATCTGGAATTGGACCGTGAGCTTTTATATCATTTGCACGGGAAAAAGAAGAGCAATATAAATCTTAGAAAACAATTAATATAAATTGCTTATAAGATACTATTAAAGATGGTTATACAATTTTATAGAAGTTTATGTAATTGTTAAAATTTGAACGAAACTATAATATATCAATTTTATAATTTATTATCCTGAGATTTCTATCATATATGTAGTAACGTAAGTACTGTGAACGTAAATTAAACCGTCGCTTTAAATTTATCTTACAATTTCAGTATCTAAATCTAAAGAAGCAGCCTGTACTCAAATGGATGAGATCCTTATAAAAGATGTATGTTTATATTATTATTAAAAAATTTTTGTCAAATGCTATTAATTTATTACAATAAATTAAGGAATTATCCAGATAGCGTGTTTATTTTGTTGCTAGCATGTTGCTTGCTAAGTATACATTGTTAAGTATTCCTGGTGAAAAAATTTCGCTGAAATTATTTTATATTTTGGAACAGTTCAGTGAAATTGCTGAAAATTTGCTGGAATTTCACTGAAAGTGAATTTTTCATCTAACATATTGAAAAAGCACTGAAATTTTTCTGAAATTGAACTAAAAATAAAAATAGAACTAAAATTTCTTTGAAATTTTGATGAAATTTTTTTAAAATTTTGATAAAATTTTTTCAGAAAATGAATTTTTCAGTTAAAAATCGTTAAAATTAAACTCTTCTAGAAATTTTTCTAAAATGCTGAAATTTGCTGAAAACTGTTTCAAAACGTGAAATAATTTCAACGAAACTTTTCCACCAGGGATGTGTTGCTACCAGAATTTCAGCAATTTATACCCATATTCATAGTCCTTCCTTGAGGAATGAGGATTCCTTGATCCTCATTTCATGTTTCATAAACCTTCTTTGACCAAAAGGAGTCTTATTAACTTCCTTTTCTCAGGGGACTTTCCTTGAGGAGGAAATGTAACTTTCATAACAAATCTGTCCAAACAAATCTCCAAATTCGTTACATCGGTTTTTTTACTTTCAATAGCTTTTAATTTAAATCTGACGCATCGATAATTATTTTTGATAACTTTCTTTCAGAAATAAACTTCTTTAAAAGCATTTTCTCCTTCTTCGTACAATAAGCATTATGACGAATTCGATTGGAAGCACTGATGCATATTAAAGCCGTTACACTAATTAATTTAATTTGAGTATAAAAATAAAATGCAAATATTTCGAATAAAATATATTTTATCTAACAGTACAATAAAATATATGAATAAAATATATGAGTAACAGTACAATAAAATATATGAGATTTCTCAATTTAATTGATTTCTATGTTTATTTATAATTTATGTTATTATGTAAATTTATGTTATTTTGTGTATGTACGGCGAATTAATGTGCATCAGTGCGCAATGAATACATTCAATCAAATTCGCTATTAATTTTATTTTTGTCTATTATTGTTGTTTAATCACGACCTTGTTTAATCAACAATGCCTTTATAATCTTTATTATTTGTAATTCATGATATTAGGTATGCATATATATATTATGATATGCTACTCTCAGTAGGTTATTAAAATTTTTTAAATATTCCTTCCTTCGGGAAAGCAGACTTGAAATCTGTTTATAAAACAAGGAGACCTTGGAGAATCGAGGAATCCTTCCATGGAAACTTCCTCCATCCTTAGAATAAGGAAAGATGAATGTGGGTGTGAGTCCTCATTTGTTAACTTGATGCCTTCACGATATGATAACTTTGAATAGTGACTCAAAATTACTATTCAAAGCCAGCAATTTTTCGACAACTTTAAAATCATCAAAATTCATACTATTGCAATAATATGCAGCATTATATAACGCTATCATATTGCCGACAACATAAGATAACATTGATGCAGCTATCTTGCTGTTAAACTGCTGATAATACATATTATACACATTGTTGCCTGCATGTTGCTATAATGTCGGTATATTCGTTGAAGACAAATCTAAAGCAAGCAATAGCATAACAAGCAATCATAGATATGTGCGATTTTGCTGAAACACACTTTGTTATCTGGGTAATTAAGATATTGATTATGTAAAAATTATAATTATACACAAAAAGGTTGAAGATAAGGGCATAATAATTTTAAACCGACTTAAGGCGTTAAATGCCATAAATTTATCCATGATCCAAAAAATATATTCCATTCTTAAACAATGGGAATTTTCAAAGAAGCTGGTAATAATAGAAAGTAGTAGTGAAAAAGTGTTTTGTGCGGGTGGCGATATTAAATCGTTTGCCTTGGCATTGAATGAAACAAAAGAAGACTTTTATTTGATTGAAGAAACATTTAAACAAGGCTATGTGTAAGTCCTAATAGTGTTTATTTAAGAACAATGCATCAATTGTGCAAAATAATTTTTTTATCTTTGTTTCCAGCTTAAATCATTTAATCGCAACATATAATAAACCTTATATCGCTATTATCAATGGGATAACAATGGGAGCCGGCGTAGGATTAGCTACACTTGGCAAATATAGAATTGCCACGGAAAAAACTCTCTGTGCTATTCCAGAAACGTCAATAGGATTTTTTCCCGATGCTGGTGCGACTTATTTCTTGTCCAGACTGAAAGGTAAACTGGGTATCTACTTAGGCCTGACAGGACATAAGTTGCAAGGTATATATAACTTCAATTATGTTGAAAACTCTATAAATATATGTATATACATATATATATATATATACATATATATATGTACA